ATCGAGCTAATATTTTCAATAAAATAAACCCACAACATCAGATAATATAGAAACTTAAAAGACAAATCCAATTAAGAGTTTTCACCCACTGAGATGGCAAATGATGTGACAATCATGACCCCGGTTCTGAAAGAGAATTCCCCAGACGCCAAGGGAAGATATGGTTTGTTAACCTGTAAAAAAATGGCATTTGAGCTTTTTTCTACAAGGTATAAAAATCATTGAAACCATATTGGAATTAAAGAATCATGAAGTGGCATCTGAATGAGGGAAAATTGTTCTAACAACGTAAGGGCATTCAAGTCCAGAAGGTTACAAATGGTAACAAAACATAAGCAAGCCTTTGAGGGAACTTTGAAAATTTGATACAGACAAAAAATGTAAAGGTGCAACCCTTAACGAGTATAATTGTGTAATCAACTATTATGGAATTTAAAGAAGAAAAAGAAAAGTCTAAATGAATTTTTTAGACTTGATCATCACATATGAAATTGTAGAATGTAAAAGTTCAACTCATAAAGGATAGGGGGAGCCGCAAGAAGCCATAGAACTAATAAATGATAGTCTTCTGTACTCTCCTTGCTATGGGAATAGCACGAAGATGAAAAGGACTGGAGTATCACATGTAAAATTTTAGTATGAAAAACTAAAATGAAATTGGCCCCTACTTGTGTTCTGAAGGAGTTGCTCATCTATCCCAGATAACACAAACTATAAGGTTGTACCACAACTCCCAATTGTCTTTTGCAGGTTTAAAGGTTTTGATTGGAATAAATAAATAAAAGAAATTAGGAAGATGCTATAATCGAAAGATATGATATTTGATCCTTCGATATCTGATATCTAACACTCCAGAAACTGGCTAACATGCAAGTTCACTAAATCAGTTCAAAAGAGGGCAGAAAAAACAGTTCCAACCCGAAGCAGCACATGTGGAGGTCACATGGCATGACCCTTTTGCATTGAATTCGACAAGTTTAAGNAAATCATTCTAGAACAAACACAACTGCATGAGAATTTTCTAAGCTAACCTTGTCTATTTCTATGTCAGTGAGTTGATTTAAACCAACAATATATACATTCATCAACAGGGCAGCAACAATTGCCTGCAAAAATATGGTGATAGATAAACCTTAGCATCAATCAAGTTCGGTTATAAAAATTCTACTGACAAAATTGTGCCACACACCTCTAGCACCCTAGTGAAAAACAACGGAGAGAAATCGGAGAGCTTCTCGACTGCAAGGAGAGAAACTGAGATTATACTCAAAGCCTGCTCCAAGAAACAGAAAGTAAGCTTTCCACCATTTGGAAAATGAATTCAACGAATGGAAAGATGTCAGACAAAATTAAAAGGTTCAAAACCTAACCGTTCCTATTATAGTATGAGGTCGTGAAAATCGGTAGAAAGCATCTAATGCATCCTGTGCCGAACTCCATGGGCTCTTCGAATTATCAGAGTCAAAAGAATGTGTAGATGCTGATTTCAGTATACCGGCCAAATTCCGCCTTGGATTTAGTGTAATACTTCTTTGGCCAATCCTTCTAGAATGTTGGCTCACCAAATTCGGCTTTTGCAGTTGTAATCTAATGGGTGCTGCGTAGAGTCGTTCTACGTTGCTGGAAGCTTTGCATTTCAAGACATGTCCTGCAACACCATAACCTATAAACCATTCATTAAATACATTATAAAACAAAAGAATAAATAGAATATCATTATAAAGGGACATGTTACCTAATAATTTAACTAAGTGCTCCAACCCCATACTTCCCAAACAACTTTTACTTCCACAACAGAATTCATCTTATACCAGAAAATGAAATAAATTCACCTTGAACGATCCGATAATTTAAAATGGATCGCGTTCGACCCATCAGGTAATTTTCATTTTGTGTAGGAAATTGCCACTCTTAAGTTCCAAAACACAAATAAATAAACAAATAATGTAACAGAAGACAACTGGAGGTTCGGAAAAGCAACGGAGACTTTCCCATCAGCAGATAATATAGAGACCATTGAAGATGAATGTCAACAACAACATAATCAAAACCCAATTTATGAGGAAAAAGAAAAAGAAAAACATAAAAAATACAGATAAATCTACAACAAGGCCAACAAGAGACGATAAATGAAAAATGCAGTGAGTTAGCAGGCCTCCGCCGCCGCCCCACACCACCAACAATCGGAAAATTTAAGGGTAAAAAATGGAAGTCTAAACTGTAAACGGGACGAGCACACATACCTAAAGGATACGAGCACAGACCAGCACCAAATGGAAATGAGAGTCGCGGTGAAGGTTTGTGAAAGGACCCAATTACACAAGACTCCATTTTTATGTCGATTGTATCGAAATGAAATGTAATCTGTCTCTAAAAGGAGAGATATGAAAGAGAGAGGAGCTGCATGTGGAACACCTCGGAGCAACTCAAACTACGAAATTGAACGTGAATTTTAATGCCCATAAAGCCATAGAGATGCTCCAAAGATGGAGTTCTCGGAGCGGAGGTACAAACTCTTGTACAATTTGGCGACTGTGGAACACCAGCACTGTTCTCGATTTGGAGCGAGAGCGGCCGATGAGATATTTATTATGGACAGTGGCACTGCACTTTTCCCTTACCACAATAATATAATAATAATCACCTTTATTTGGAAAATAACAATAGTTTAAGAACCTTTTTCATGGAGTTAATTTGTTATTTTTTCACTCTTACTCTTTCCCACTTACCCTATGCACTAACAAAGTGACGGATCTAGGAATTTCATTCAGGGGACCCTATTTTAAATGTTATAACGAGCTTGTAGTTTAAGGGCACGTTTGTTACCCCAGATAGGACAGGATTACATCTCCAATCCACCCTTAATCTCGTGTTTGTTTACCACAATTTCGGCCCACACAATAGGATAAGGCCCGCGATGAACAGTGTCACAATCTTGGAAAATCACGATGGTCTTGGCTGAGGGGATATGATAACTTTGGTCTGTACAGTAAATAATAAACAAAATTATAAATACTAGTTTTTGTCCCGTGCATCTGCACGGAAAACTATATGATACATGAAAAATAATAAAAATTATAAACAATAGTAAAATCCATAACAAATTCATTGAAAAAAATTAAGAAAAAAATATAAATATTCTTAAACACTTCTTTATAAAACAACGTCGTGGTTTTTCTATCGTCAAAATCTCCCTCAGCTCAAATCAAAATTTTCAAACCCCACTGACCCGTAACTCTAAAAAGCGCCACGTATAATTGCTCATGACTAAATGCAGAGCTCTTCAGTAGTAAGCCGACGTGCGACAGAGACTGACTTTAACTCTTATTGATCATGTCATAGCATAGGAAACACTTCTTTATATTATTTGTCCTCGACTCTTATTGATTGATAGAGATTGTCCTTGCTTCTTAATAAAAAAAATACCATCTAAATATAAATGAGTAAATATAATATTAATTTTTTATATAAACAAAAAATTTAAAGTAATTGATAATGAGTATAGAATTACCCTTGCGGATTCAAGTTATTTCAACGATGTTCTTTTTATATATCTAAGATTTAATTTTTTTTCTGATTTATATGAATATAAGCACATTTGACTAATTCTTATAAAATTTATTGAAAAAAGTTACTATTTTTTTGAAAAACTGATAAGATATTAAGATAATACTGTACTTAACATAAATGTGGGATTAATTAAAATAAATCTTTTTAATTTAGTCATTAACTAATTAAAAAAATGTAACTCCTTTTGGAGGGAAAGTGAAAATATTTTTATTAAATTTTATTAAATTTAACTATAAAAAACCTTCTTAAATGTGAGATTAATGAGTAATTAATTAAAAAAAAATGTAACTCCTTTTGGAGGGAAAGTGAAAATATTTTTATTAAATGTTTTATTAAATGGGATTTGTTAGCAATTATATATATATAGATATCCCTTAAAGTAAAATTTGATGACCATATTAACCTCTCTCTTGTTGCCAAAATTACTCCTGCCATCCTAGCCCCTTTTCTACACGACTACACCCTGTTCAGATTTTATCTATCCCCTCTTTCTTCTTCTTTATTTTTTTTCCTTTTTTTTAATTATTTCAACTCCTAATCTTATGTTCATCACCTCCGCAGATTGAAGCTGCCTTTTTTCTAATTATGTTTTAATTCCCTTTATTTGCAATTTGTTTCCAAGAGATCCATGGTTTTGTGTTCGGTCGATTGTAAGACTAGAAGATGAGCGACGATGGAGATGGTAGAAATCGGTCGGCGGCGGAGATTTCGGAAGAGGAGTAGCGACAGAGGGAGGAAGAAGGCCTCAACTAGGAAAAAGAAAATTATCAAGAAATTTGCTCCATTTATTTTTTTGTTCTAGGGTTTTAGAAAGTGTTGGTGGAGGTTGCCGAGCCAGAGGAAGGGCTTCTCGAGGGTATTGCACCAGTCCGGGTGGAGGCACTAGGCGACGTCGGTGGCGGCGGCGGCCTGGTCGAGGACGAGGTAGTATGACTGGAGATGGTGGTGCCGTCGAGGACGAGGTAGTAGGAAAGGAGGGCGGGGGAGAAGAAGAAGGAGATGGCGAGGCGGAGCTGGGGGAGGAGGACTGGAGGGTGGTTGAGAGGATGGGCTTTTGTACGGGAATTAGAAGTTGAGAGTATTTACTGTATCAATTTCATTTGAATACATAGATGGGTGGCTTCCTTTGCTGCAATGTGAGTTCTCAACCTGATTATGCACCTTTTTTTATTATTCTGAAAAAGTTAACAGTGTTCATGTATCAGTTTCGTTTGATTCTATGCGTGGGTGAAATTAGGGATCAAATTGCCCTGCATTTGTTGTTTATCAATTGAATTCTTGTCATGAGATGTGTATTTGTCGATTGGAAATAATTAGCTTGGTCTCTCATGTATGTCAATATTGGAGTATGTGCAAATGCTGGTTTCTCATTTTGTGATCTTGGGGTGCTCAAATATCAAATTGTGATGCATTTTGCAAGAATTACTAGAGGGATTGAATATAATGGAATCCTGTCATTGATTGATTTTCTTTAAATATTTATTACTTTCTTGGTGTTTATTACATACATTTATTTTGTTTGTTTATACTCGTTGTGCATACTTTTGATTGAGTTGATACTTTCAGACCGAGAGAGATGGTTCTTTGCTAGAATAGACAAATTTACGATGTAAAGGACCAATAGGGTGATATGGTTCATAGGGAGTTAGTTGTTCATTTTGATATTGAAAGGAGATAACATGCCATTATTGGTGATTTTGTCTCTTACTGCAGCTACTTGTTGATCTTGGGGTGATTTTCTTGCGGCCAAAGGGAGACGTTTTGAACAACTGTGGTGAAGATTGAGAGAGACTACAAAATCAATTGAGAGAGACACCAAACTTAATTCGGGATCGAATAATACTGCGAGAGGGATTATTTTGATCCTGTTTCTTGAGCTGACAATTGAGCAAATTAACCTCATTGTTGCGAACGACAATAGTTGATAGTTTTTTGTGATGTGGGCTTCTGTAAAAATGCACAATTTAGCCAAAGATTTGTTTTTTTTTTTTTTTTTTTTTTNTGTGAATTTTGTTGAATAAAATTTACTTCTGTACTGATTCATGGGAATATGTATTTGATCATTTATTTCTCTGTATTTTTTTTCAAGTATATTCACTATGCATGCTGCATTTTCTTTTTCTTTATCATATTATTTTTTTGTTGTTTTCTATTTTCTTTCAACAGTGATGTACAAAAAAAAATGTAAACAAGTGTGGTGGGATTGTTGAGATTATTAATATATATTTAAAATTAGGGCATATTGGTAATTCTCAATTTTTATCATATATCTTATCTAGGAAAACAAACGTGCAATACAAAAATCAACAAAATCCTATCTTGGAGCAGTCTTGTTTAACAAACATAGATTACACATAGTCTCAACAGTACAATCGTGGGTCACAAGATAAAAATTGTCCAATCTAGTCCGGCCAAACAAACGTGCTCTTACTCTTTCCCACTCACCCTATGCACTAACAAAGTGACGGATCTAGGAATTTCATTCAGGGCGGCCCGATTTTAAATGTTATAACAAGCTTGTAGTTTAAGTCGAAACGCTCATTTTATATGAAAAAATATTTACTATAAATATAAATATCAATATGTGTACCATCAAGTTTTTAAAAATTTAAAAAATATGTAACCCTAAAACTTTAAATAAATAAACCAAAAAAAGTGAGATTTTTGTGTATTTTTAAGAAGAAAAAAAAAACTTTTGCAGTACATTGTGTTCATCAAATGAACATTTTTTAAGAAGAAAAAAAAATTTACAATTAAGATATCAAAAATAAATCATTATAAGTATTTTCAAAAAATTATCTAAAAATGTAAAATATAACTATTATTAGCACATTTTTGAAATAAATAATTTTATTAATTTAAACTAAAATAACATTAAAAATAATTATTACTATATTCTAAATATTTTGTACATTTGTATATATATATTTTTAATATTTTCTTTATATATATATATATATATATAGATTTAAAAAAAATGAGGGGGGCCCATGGGCCCACCTGGACCCAATACAAATCTGTCCCTGATGGTGATTAGTGTAAACTAATGTAGATTAGTGTAAACTAGTGTAGATTCCGTGCGATGCACGGAGTGTGCAATTTTAAGTTTATTTACTCAGTCTTTTTATTATATCCATTAACAAAGAAAATTAAAGAAATATAATAAATATTACTATTATATATTATTAAAAACCTCATTGTATACAATATTTTTTGTCTTGTAGACACAACATCCGCCCTGCAAATTAATATTTTCAAGTCATTTAGATTAGTGACACGGTAAACAGCTACATACAACTGGTCGTGACTGAACACCGACTTCTTCAAGAACATGCTGACATGTGATAAAAACTGACTCTGGCTCTTGTTAATCGTCATGGCATAAGAAACCATTAGGAGAAACTGCCAAACATGTGATAAAGTCTGACTCTGACTCTTGTTAATCGTCATGGTGTAAGAAACCATTAGGGGAAACTGACTCCGCTAAATTTGAAAGGTACAGTAAAGTCGGAAGGTGTTAGTCATCCGACATATCAACACATTCTTTTGTGCATTAGATTCAGTCAATACCTTACATTCAAGTATATGAGTGGAGAGCTTTTTGACAATCAATCTCGTACCATTGCACAACCCCATAGAATGTCAATGTCCCACAATAACATGAGTGAGGTTCCTATCATAATATTCAACTCATGGTTTGACACTCTATAACATCTTATAGTATTAAAAAACTCGAGTGTGTGGAGATCAGACAAAAATTTATTATTCCAATCAGATTATTGCACGTATTATCAGAGCTCAAGTATGTTTGACCATCAGTCACGTTCAAAGACGTCATGTACTCATTGACAGACTCAACCACCTCCAACGTTGGACTAGTATAGTCCTATCTTTCAAATAACTGGGATCACAGTTGCATCCTTAAACATTGGATAAATGTTCTCAACTATTGCAGCGATAGGATCATCAGTGGGCTCCAACAATATATCATCATGTATGTCTATCAAGGCACATAATCACCCAATGGTTTCATCTCTGATGCTCGC